TTGGATGGAGAATTTGACATACAGGAAAAAAGGTGCGTCAGATGCTTTGATTGAGCAATTTATACAAATAATTTTTATTTTATCATATTTAAATACGCAATACAAAGAAATATTCATTCACTGTGAATTTAGTGTGTTTTACTCGTGAGTGCAATCAGATCTCTTCCGAGTTTCATTTGTTGACAGTTTGGGCTTGAATATTACTTGCTAAGTATAATAAGCGAAGGTGACAGTGTTGTTTTCTTGAAGAGTATTTATTTATCTCAGATTTGACAACAGGATTGTTGAGATCAGTGAAAAATTGATGAATATATGCGCTGATAATTGAGATGCTAGTGATATTTCTATGCAAAATGAAAGTAGAGTAAAATACCTTTATGATAATTTAAAGTCAAATTTTTTTTTTCATAAAATTTATTTTTGTCAATACTTATGATGTTTGGATGATGTTAAAGGGTTTTGGGTTGTAGAGGGGGAACCCCCGGGGTATAGTGTAAGTCATGGCCACGCGACGTTCACCTGTGTAATAATCGTAATAAAGCGAAAATGCGAGGAGGCGACAGATGGGATGCGAATATACGACAGATTTTATGTGTCGTATATTCGCGTGTTTTCTGTCGTATTTTCGCTTTGTTGCCTCGCAAATCCGAAAAAGCGAAGCAAAATTCCAACTTTGTCGTCCCTTCATGTTTTCGCACTTTCGCATTTTGAGGCGAAGAGGCGAACATACGACATGGCGTAAATCAGCCACCATAGAGTACTGAACATTTAAACTGAGTACTAAGTACTTATGAGCATGAACTCGAGTAACCCATCACTGACTGTTTAACTAGAGTTTTTAAAAGCAATACTATATAATAAGGTAAGCTGACCACGAAAATGAAATAAATAATACTAAAATACTGGCTGTATTAAATATGTACATCATCATATTTATTTCTTATTCATTTCAAGTTTGTTCAATATGGCACAGCTAAGTAACACAGCGTTTTGGGGTCCAATGCATTTTGGGGTCTGAACCCAAAGTGCGCTACGTACTTTGTGGTCCGACTCCGCACTTTGGGGTCCAATTTTGACCCCAAAGTGCGTTAAACAGGTACATATGCATTTTTTTCAGACAAGCGACCGCACTTTGGGGTCATAAAAAGTCAATCAATAAATACGAATTTTGATGACGTTTTAAATGATATCCAACGGTAAACATAAGTCAAGGTATCAAATTGACGCAAAACATGTGCCCTGAATTATACGTAGAATCAATAGGGATTTTAAATGCTCTTCTGTGTATCAATTTATTGATATGATCCTCTGACCAAGATATTTTATACATTTACTAAAATTTACAGATCATGAACACTGAATCAGTAACAAAAAAGTCATAAAATAATAAAAAAAAACAACACTATCACACCTTCGGGGCACATGTTTTGTGTCAAACCCGTGTTATCAGTGTCTTGACAGCCAAAAACTTGTAGAAAAATAGATGTTCGTGAAGTTGGCAGCCTAGCAGCTTAGCAGCCTAGCAGCCTGAAGTTGGCAGCCTAGCAGCCTGGCAGCTAGCAGCCAAGCAGCCTGGCAGCCTAGCAGCCTGGCAGCCTAGCAGCCTAAAGAAAACTAAGAATAATACAAACATGAAATCGTCGGAAATACATAAGTAGCACTTCTTTAGATCATTCCACGTCTTATTCAATATCGTGATCTTTATTTTTTTAAGATGTTGAACTTCATCTTAACATGATTGTTTTATTCTGACGCTCCGAAATTTGTGAAGTCAGCAAGCCTAGCAGGATAGTACAAACATGAAAACTGTCGGAAATGAATCGGTAGCAAATACTTAGACCATTCCATGTCTTATTTCAGTATCGCGTACTTTAATTTTTTAAAGTAATTAACTTTGTTGTTTTTTTTTTATTTTGACACTTCGAAATTTGTGAAGTTAGCAGCCTAGCAGCCTAGCAGCCTAAAGAAAACTAAGGATAATACAAACATGAAAACTGTCGGATATGAATCGGAAGCACATACCTAGACCATTCCACGTCTTACTTCAGTATCTCGATCTTTATTTTTTTAAATATTGATTTTTTTTTTTATTTTGACGCTTCGAAATTTGTAAAGTTAGCAGCCTAGCAGCCTAGCAGACTAGCAGCCTAAAGAAAACTAAGGATAATACAAACATTAAAACCGTCGGATATGAATCGGAAGCACATACTTAGACCATTCCACGTCTGATTTCAGTATCGCAATCTTTATTTTTTTAAATATTGAACTCATTTCCGACGGTTTTCATGTTTGTATTATCCTTTGTTTTCTTAAGGCTGCTAGGCTGCTAACTTCACAAAGTGTCACAAAAAACAACAAAAAACCCCAACAAAGTTCGATATTTAAAAAAATAAAGTTCTCGGCTGAAAAGATACGTGGAATAGTCTAAGTATGTGGTACCGACTCATTTCCGACGGTTTTCATGTTTGTATTATCCTTTGTTTTCTTTAGGCTGCTAGGCTGCTAGGCTGCCAGGCTGCTAGGCTGCTAACTTCACAAATTTCGAAGTGTAAAAATAAAGAAAAAGTTAATTATTTAAAAAACAATAAAGTATGCGATACTAAAATAAGACGTGGAATGGTCTAACTATTTGCTACCGATTCATTCCCGACGATTTTCATGTTTGTACTATCCTGCTAGGCTGCTAACTGCACTAATTTCGAAGCGTCAGAATGAAAAAATTATGTTACGATAAAGTTCAACATCTTAAAAAATAAAGATCACGATATTGAAAAAGGCGTGGAATGATCTAAAGAAGTGCTACTAATGTATTTCCGACGGTTTTCATGTTTGTACTATTCTTAGTTTTCTTTAGGCTGCTAGGCTGCCAGGCTGCTAGGCTGCTAACTTCAGGCTGCTGGGCTGCTAGGCTGCTAGGCTGCCAACTTCACGAACATGAAAAATAGAACGTGTTCTAACTTTCTTGCAAGGAATTATCTTCTTGAATGTCACATAATTTCTCTTTAAAACTCATTCAAGTAGGGTGTCTACACTATCCAATACAAGAGAATATGATACTTGCATGCAATACTTGGATAGGTGTAGACGGGCCCTAAGACATTTCAGTAAAAAATATGCCTGATAAAATGTTGAAAGGGCAATTTATTTAGCTTATCTATATGTGAAATTTAAGAAACTTGACTAGGTGTAGATGCGGCCTTAAGTAGTAGTAGTCCGTACAGAAAGTAAAAACTATTTTAGCATAAAGTGACACATTAAGAGCGGAACTCCATAAAAATGTAAAGCTCTCATTGAGGGGTCTAGATGGGATGGTGGGGTGTCAATCGCCCGGAGATTTTAAAAATAACGCTTTAAAGGCCCATTATGCTTTTATTTGTATTTCTTAAAAGCTTTTTAATATTGGTGTGCTTCTATAGTATCCAAAAAGTTACTCATTGGTAAATTACCTGGACCATCTTTTTCATCTGTTACATTTTGGCAATAATTACAGATATAGTGAATGAGTATTTTGTATAGATGTCATAACAGTACTTTGCTTACATTTTGCTTCTTTCATGACAAACTATTTCACATTTATCGCTACTTTATTCAGGTAACAAGCATCTTACATTTCTCTGATACCATTATTTAAACATTATACAATTCATGTTTGCCCTTGTAAAGTATGTAAGATTTCCCATTAAAAAAGCCTCTGGCGAACGGTTGTTACGGAGCTTACAAAAAACTTAAGTTTCTTGATAAGCTTAATAATGTATTTGTAAAAATCGCTATTTATAGTCGAACGAGAATTTTGATATTTCACCAGAACATTGCAATAGAGTATATTTATAGTTCCTATTATTCCTAATATTAACTGCATTTTATTTAAATGCATCATATTAAAAGAATATCAAGGTATTAAATAGACGCGAAACATGTACCCTGATTTAAAGTAGAATAAATAGGGATTTTGAATTATCTTGATCAGTTAGTGAAGAACAGAATATGGCACCAAAAGTTATCAAGTAAATGACTGACAGAATATGAAATTTTTCGCAGCATCTTTAATTTTAGGAATACATTCACAATTTATGTATTTAGAGTACTTTGTTATATGGATACAATTTTCAGATATTTTAAATTGTAAAATTAGTGAAACTTTTATCACTTAAGCATTAAACAAAGTATCGGCCGTCATCTCGAACTCCACCTCAAATATTTCAATGTCGCAGAACGAAAATAAGTCAGTACTCAGTATTTAAGCAGAACTCAGTTGACCCCTTCAGAACTCTGGACCCCAAAGTGCGTTGATATGTAGCATATTTACGCACTTTGAGGTCAATTTGACCCCAAAGTGCGTTGGACCCCAAAGTGCTGTGCGAAATGTAACGCACTTTGAGGTCGGACCCCAAAGAGCGTTGGAGCCCAAAGTGTGGTGTTACACAGCTTAGACGATACAAGACATCGTTGAACATACAGGGGCACATGTTATATGAATGTAAAATTAACAACAGTATTAAGGCCCTCTTACACTTAAAGATTGATAATCACAATGTTAAAATTAAAAAAAAATTAAGATGAAGCGTAAGAGAAATATTATTGGTGTAGTGTTATATATAAAATGATTTAGATGACAATGTGAGAGAATATTTTTCCAATGATAGTCCAGTATTGAGTCAGTAGGAGAGCGGGGATAGTTTATAAAGATCTATTCAAAACTATCTAAAACAGACGTCTGTCGGGATATGGTATGAAACATACCACGTTTAAAAAATCAAGAACTTGCTTATTATACTTTTGTTGAACAAAAAAAGCAAACAAAAAAAAACAAAGGAGTTCTATTAGCACAAAAAGATGGAAGAGATTTTGGACTTGGTGTGAAAATTTACACAGAATACTTTATTAAAAATACTGAAAATACCAGTTGAGTTACTTACCTAACTCAGTTTGTTTTTATTACTAACCTAGACCTTGACTTCTGTTAAATTTAATGACTGACTATACAAATATTATTTGTTCGATGATTTTAAATTTTTTTAAGAAGGGTGTTATGTGTTTTGTTCATGATGATTTGGAATTAAAAGCAAAATACACTTTATTTATTTAAACAGAACAAGTAGCAAAGAAAACATGACATTGAACAATTCCGATTTTAAATCAGTTTTATCAGGGATACTGGAAGATACGAATGACACTGATGAGGCGGACATTACTGCGGTTGTGGCAACAAAACAAAGTACAGTTATATATCTAACACTCCTCTTTTTTATTATCGGTGTAATAGGAATTATGGGAAACATGTTAGTCATTTTTGCGGTTATTTGTAGCAAAAAAATGAGAACATCTATGACTAATTTACTTATAACAAATTTAGCTTTCGCAGATCTCCTGATAATGGTACTGGGGATTCCAGAAATATTTCAATTTATGATGAACAAAGGCTGGACTTTTGATGATTTGGTGTGCCGTATAAACCGCTACGTGTTGGTGACGTCATTATATGGATCGGTGTTGACGTTAATTTCTTTGTGTGTCGAACGGTACGATATTTATTTTTTGTAGTTATTTTTCGTAATAATCTTTATTCCATATACTTTTCTGCTTTAAAATATTAAGTTAAATCCACTGAAGTATGAAAACGAAATTAATCTTATAAATATATGTCGTGACCATCAATACTTAATCTCAAAATGGAAATTACTGTTTAATTATAATTTCTTCAAATGGAAATACCATAATTGTACATATGTTGATCAGCAGCGATGTTTTCTACAATCATTTTGTTTAAGTATATATCTATTTTCCCATCACATCGGATACTAAGTACGCAACGGCATGGTAAAACAATCAATCATACCAGAATTTCTAGTCAAATTGTTTTCCATTAGAATACCTTACCATTTGCTATACATGTAGTTTACAGATGAATGATGATTAACCGACGGTCTTGATATAAAATGACATTAACTATGTTATATCGGTAAATGCGGCTGCTTTAATATTGACAGTTTTGTCAGACTTTATGTCCTGCAGAAGTTATTGCAGAAGTTTATTATTGACTATCAAAATATCGCAATATATGTAAATTTAAATGCCGCAGTTTTACGTACGTTAGTCCGTCTAAACTAATTCAACTATCATCAGAAATAAATGTTTTCATATTGTAACATCAGAGAAGAAAATCATTTAAAAACAGGATGGTTTAATGTCTCATCAAAACAAAACAAGAAGACATTAAAAGTGATTCGATCTTCCTCATCGTCTGTAAACTTTCTTTAGAAGTCATATCTTTATAAGCTTCATAAATACTGTTGTATGTACATCAAAACTTGTTATCTCAATTATCATTTTAAGAGAACTTAGATACGTATAGATTATCTACCTATACCCTGAAACAAACATATGCTTATTATGAGATATTCACGTGGTTGTATAGCTTGTAGTATTGCTGATTAATAGGTTAATGTGTTAGTTTTCATTCACTTTGTTAAAATGTCTAAAATTCTACTTTTTACGTTTGTAATTTCTAAAGAAAATTATGATAAAGTTAGCCACACAATTCATGTTTCTTAATAATCTTTAGATCTTATCTTTAAATATATTGACTGCTGATAGACAACGACTTTTGAATCTCTTAAACACAAATATAGTTTTGCTTAAGATTGTCACCTTGAACGTTTTGATTACGAAGACTTAAGGTCCTGTCTACACCTATCCAAGTCTTGAATGCAAGTATCATATTCTCATGTATTGGATAGTGTAGACACCCTACTTGAATGGTTTTTAAAGAGAAATTATGTAACATCCATGAAGATAACTTCTTGCAAGAAAATTAGAACAGTTTTTGGCTGTCGAGACACTGATAACACCAGTTTGACACAAAACATGTGCCCGAAGGTTTGATAGTGCTGTTATTTTTATTATTTTCTGACTTTTTGTAATTGATTCAGTGTACATGCCCTTTGAATTTCAGTAAATGATTACAATGTCTTGGTCAAAGGAACAAATCAATACGCTGATACAAAGAAGAGCAAAAAAAAAAAAAAATAATAAATAAAAATAGATACATGTACATTGTAAAAAAATAAACAAGAGCTCTTTTTCAAGTAGAGTCAAAATGGATTTAAAATGATCTTGTTCATTTAGTGAATAACTTTCATCAAATAAAAAATTTGCATCAAAATAATTTTTTGTCACATTTTTTCAATTTTTAAAAGAATGTACGCATTTCATTTACTCCATTGTTTTAGCTAATTGCATCATTTTCCCGCTTTTTTCCACATATTTTAAAGATACGTGATAGTATTGCAAAGACAAAGGTATAAATCCTGGGCTATCTTAATGAGACATTTCAGTAAAAATTGTGCCTGAAAAATTGTTGAAAGGGCCATTTATTTAGCTTATCTAAATGTGACATGTAAGAAACTTGAATAGGTGTAGACGCGGGGCCCGTCTACACCTATCCAAGTCTTGAATGCAAGTATCATATTCTCTTGTATTGCATAGTGTAGACACCCTACTTGAATGAGTTTTAAAGAGAAATTATTGACATCCAAGAAGATAATTCCTTGCAAGAAAGTTAGAACACGTCCTATTTTTCTACAAGTTTTTGGCTGTCAAAACCGGTTTGACACAAAACATGTGCCCCGAAGGTGTGATAATGTTGTTTTTTTTATTTTCTGACTTCTTTTGGTTCATGATCTGTAAATTTTAGTAAATGTCTACAATATCTTGGTCAGAGGTACAGATCAATACACTGATACACAGAAGAGCAAAAAAATCTGTTTTCAAGTAGTCAAAATGGATTTTAAATGATCTTGTTCATTTAGTGAATAATTTTCATCAAATAAGGAATTTGCATCTAAATGTATTTTTTCTCACATTTTCCATTTTTTAAAAGAATGTACGCCTTTCATTAACTTCATTGTTTTAAGCTAATTGCATCATTTTCCCGCTTTTTTTATTCACACATTTTACAGAAACATGATAGTATTGCAAAGACAAAGGTATAAATCCTGGGCAATCTTAATAAGACATTTCAGTAAAACTTGTGCCTGATTATATGTTGAAAGGGCCATTTATTTAGCTTATCTAAATGTGACATGTAAGAAACTTGAATAGGTGTAGCAAGAGAATATGATACTTGCATTCAAGACTTGGATAGGTGTAGACGGGCCCTAAGTAATAGAAAGAGCATCTAAACACGAGGCTATCTGATTTATACGAGGGGGCATAGCCCCCGAGTATAAATCAGATTGCCGAGTGTTTTGATGTTCTTTCTCTTTTGTATCATAGTCAAACATAAAAACACGTTCCCTGTTGTCACAATATGAAACCCCGGAAAAAGGTAACCAATGAACGAGCATCTGAATATGATATTTCTGTCGCTTTCCCTTTTTCTGCCGTCACAATAAGTAAACCCCAGCAAAAATAAGCCTTGGAGTGCGGGTGACTGATACCTGCACTCCAGTTAACTTGTGAACCTTACATATGAATAAATTTACGGTCACCAAAGTAAATGAAGTAATATAGAGAATTATTCATTAATTATACAAAAAAAAACCTTCAGAAGCTTTTAAAGAAGTTTCCCACATTAAAATGAATCATAAAGAAGAAATAAATTATTCTCCAAGAATAAATAAAAGGTTATTTATCCGTCATTTGAATTTGAATACAAGTATGACTGACATCAAAGATAAATATGTCAGTTACAGACACATATGTAACAAAGCAACAAACGATTGTATTATACAAAATATAACCTTAACATAATCTCCACAAAAAACACAGCTTTCATTGATTTGTTTGATCGAAGAAAATAATTAGTTATAAACACATGTGACAATATATTTTATTTCATTATTGCAGGTACATTGCAATTATACATCCGATTAAAGCTCACATCCTATGTAATCGTCGACGCATTGTTGTTGTACTTGGCTGTATATGGCCGTTTGCCTGGCTTGCCGGTCTGCCAACACTTTTCTTCAATCAAGTAAGGCAGGGACATCCGACTCATCCTCATTCGTCAATCAAGTACTGCATGATTCTCTTTCCGGACAATCCTGACTTATACTACATGTTATTCAAAATCACAGAATCGGTGATATTCTATTTTCTCCCTTTGTCTGTTCAACTAACTTTATATGCTTTCGTCAGCAAACACTTGTTTATTGGTTCGGATAGGCTACATCGTACATACACTGTTAGAGATAGGAATGGGACATCAATGGAGCGTTATTCTGAAGCCATACAAGCTAGAAAAGGAGTCGTAAAAATGCTAATGGCCAGCGTCATTGTATATTTTCTTAGTTACTCACCAAATCAAATTTTACTAATTTGGAACACGGTGAGACCAAAAACATTCCATGAAAACTGGTCGTTTCTTGTATTTACCATGATCGTCGCTTATATCAATTCAGCAGCCAATCCAATTTTGTACAGTATTTTCAGTCAGAATTTTAGAGAGTGTTTTCGAGATATACTTTGTCGATGTTGCCCAAAACAACCACAGCGTCGACGTACTTTACGGACCGGAAGTACACCAAGTACATACAATACATATAGCACAACGTCACGGTACTGGAGACATACGTCTTTAGCGTCAGCTGTCACAGATGTGTAATTTAACCAAAATTTTAACCTTACATTTTTCAGACATTTAGATCCCTGTTTAAAATTAAATACTTTTGTTATATTATTTTTCTGGTCGTTCGGATACCACTTAAACTCACGAGCAGAGTCAATCAAACCTCAGCAATTTTCGTCTAATTTTGTTGCTTTCTTTTCTATTTTCTTTTTTTTTCTTCTTTTTTTTCTTTTGCGAGAAATCACCCCTTTTCCAGATAAAGAATGATTTTTGTTGGTTAATAATGAAATGAATAATAATAAAAAAAATAAACCCAATCGATCAATCATTAACTTGATTGCTATTTGTCGTTATTCTATTCAAATTACTTTAAAAAAAAAAACAACAAAAAAACAAAAAAAAAAACCCACAATAATATTCATGTAGTTTAGTAATTATATATATTTATTGAAAATGGTATATTCTTGTTTATATTTAAATAATTAAATATGATAATTTATAACGATAATTCTTAATATTTATATCTATGACGCAACATATCATACGCGCAACCTTTTCTCTCTAAATAACAAGTTGCATTGTTTAACTTCAAAAATATTTTCGGAACTTAGTGTGCCTTTTAATCTCTGTCTAAGTCATGTGAGGACGCGTGATAAATAAACATCAGGTACTTGAAGTTAATAATTGAACACATGTGTTAAACAAATTAATGGAATAAACAGAAGCTATATTTCATTATCAACAGGAATTAATTGCTGCATGTCACATTTGTTTCCGCAACGTATTCAGCATATTCCACCTGGTCATTTTATTACTTTCTGCCCAATATTTAATTTAAAGTTCGTATCATGTTAGACTAGTGAAACATTTAATTTCCCATTTAACATACAGATGTAGCTTTTCGATCAAATTATTGTACGTATATAACTGTGAAGTCTGGTTTTAAATCTGGATTAAATAAAAAAAGGGTTCATACATACACGATCCGTATATAACGCCATTGTACATGTCATAAGATCGTTATTTACTCAAAATAGTCATTAAAACCAGAATAAAATATTGTTGGTGTAAACGTGAGTCTAAAATCTAAAGACATGGTTATGAGCTATACCTGAAAATTCTCCATAACAAAACTTATAAAAAATGGCTTAGCAAGATTAAGACTATCATATAAAACTTTGAAACAGGCGCTAAATTACTAATAGAATACCCCGCGAGGAACGCATATGTGCTAGTAATGAGACAGAAGATGAATTCCATTTTATATACTTTCTCTAATATACGTTGTATTTACATTTTACAGACAGAAAACCAAGTATGTTCAAACAGATTAAATCATAAATAGTACTGAAAAAAGTCTGAATTAATAGGATAGGTTTATTTATGTTATGCTACAAAACATCGAGTTGAAATTATTGAATTACTAAATGCAAAATGTAAGTTAAGTCATGCTATATTTAATATTTGTTTTGATTATTCCTCGAAATTACTTTATGTCTGTTATGAAACATCGTTAAACAGCTGTGTGCTTCACAGTATATAATTAATCTTATCATCCTCCTCCTATATTTATAAGAATGTAAACGTTGAGCTTACTTGAATTTCAATACTTAGAACTTCGTTTTCTGTAAGTATCATCGTGTATATCATGTAACGGACAGGAATCATGCAAAAGTAACACAGCATTGTGCCGAAAGAGCACAACGAAAAGTAATAAACAAATAAATTACATGTATTGAGTTTATCAAACTGAAAAAATGAAGCGTTTGCAAAGTTCATTAAAATATTTGCAGTATAGTGTCTTTTTTTGCAATTAAATGCATTATTGTGCTTATCAATACCTAGGAAGCACTGTAACACCGCACTTTGGGGTCAAACGCACTTTGGGGTTGAACCCCATAGTGCGTTACGCACTTTGGGGTCCAATTTCGACCCCAAAGTGCGTTAAACAGGTACATATGCATTTTTCAACATCAGGCAAACGACCGCACTTTGGGGTCAGAGAAAATTTATGTTCATTATGTTTTAAATAATATAGTGTAGTCAAAGCCAATGGTAAACAAAAATCAAGGTATTAAATAGACACAAAACATGTGCCCTGAATCAATAGGGATTTAAATGGTCTTGATTAATAACTTTCACAAAATAAATCACCAAAAAAAGAATTTGTATCAATGCAGCACGCCTAATTTTCATGAAAATTTTGAAAATTTATTTGAATGTATGATATTGTGGAATAACAAAAAGGAAGCAATTTGCACATTATCAATGGCACTTATAACTTACGTAAATTACCAAAAAGTTGTCAAAATATGCATAAATAGCCCTTAATGCGTTAGTAACGCAGTAGGAATATAGTTGTAAATATTGAAAACTCAGTCATTGACCGCACATAATATGTAAAATATTACTTGAATCTTGAATCATTTTACATTTCCTATAATCGTAGTACATATTTCTCAAGTTTGATTTTATTGAAATATTTTGACTCATTTGGAGGCATGCAGCTTTAAGCTTAAAATATGTTTTTCTAAAAGTTTCCATTTATTTTAAAAGAATGTACACCTTCATTAACTCCGTTGTTTTTAGCTAAATGCATCATTTTCCCGTTTGTTATTTACACATTTTACAGAAATATGATAGTCTTTGCATAGACAAAGGTATAAATTCTGGGTAATCTTAGTAAGACATTTCAGTAAAAAATTTGCCTGATGATATGTTAAAATAGCCATTCATTTAGCTAAATGCGACACATTAGAAACTTGACTAGGTGAAGATGCGGCTTAAGTAGTAGTCCGTACAGGCAGTTAAAAATATCAACTATTTAAGTAGTCGCACATTAAGAGCGAGCTTCAGAATAATGTAAAATTCTCACTGGGGGTATAGAGGGAATTGTGGGGTAGCGATCTCCCCGAGGTTTAAAAGTAACATTTTAAAGGCATATTATGCTTTTATTTGTTTTTCTTCAGCTTTTTTATTTTGATGTTCTTTTATATTATCAAAAAAATACACATTGGCCAATTACCTGAACCATCTTTTTCATCTGTTGCTTTTTGACAATGATGAGTACAGTACTGTTATAGTGATAAGTAGTTTACATATTTTATAATTATGGAAGTCAAATACTACATTGTTTTAACTACTTTTATGACAAATAATTTCACATTTATCGCTACTTTATTCAGGTAACAAGCATCTTACATTTCTCTGATACCATTATTTTATCATTATAAAATTCATCTTTCTAAAGAAGTATGTAAGATTTCCCATTAAAAAAGCATCTGGCGAACAGTTGTTACGGAGGGGGAAAAAATATTAACTGCATTTTATTTCATTCCTTTCATATTTAAAATGGAGCTCAACATGGCACCAAAAGTTATCAAGTAAATGACTGACAGAACGGGATATTTTTCGCAGCATCTTTAAACTTTAGGAATACACGATTTCTGTACTAAAATATTTTGAACGGTGGCAAAAAAGTGACATTTGCAACTTTTTTTTTGTTTTTGATACTTTTTTTTCGTACATATTTTTGGTTGTTTTTTTGTTTGTCATACATTTTTTTTTAGTTTTGAATACATACTTTTTTTAGTTTTGCATACATATTCTTTTTAAGTTTTGCAGACATATTTTATTTTAGTTTTGCATACATATTTCATTTGAGTTTTTGGTACATATTTTATTTTTGTTTTGTTTTTTACTTTTTTCGTACATAATTTTACATGACGCCATTTGCAAAGTAGAGGTTTGGATAATTAAGCTATTTGTAAAACACCATTTTCAAACACTTCGCCATCTGTAAATTACAGTACCCCATTTACAAACGCCATTTGTAAATACCAACATTTTCATTTTTGTAAGTATCAAAAAGATAATAACACTTTTTAGTATATATATATATATATATATATATATATATATATATATATATATATATATATATATATATATATATATATATATATATATATATATATATATATATATATATATATATATATATATATATATATACAGAGACAAAGATATTATCTATGTCTCTGATATATACATGTACATGTATATATATGTATATATATATGTTTTTTTCTAAATCAGTGGAATATAAGGACCTATTTAGATCTTTCATTGTGCATTATTGTAATACACCAGTCCCTTGTAACCATCTCCCTTGCCCCCGGGGGAGTGTGGGTTAAAAAAGAATCGTGTGATGTCTGCGCTGTTCCGGGGCATAAGGCAGGAATGTTATTATCTGAATATGCCCCGCAGGGCGAAGATTTTACCAGTGGTCGGCTTGGTTTTAAGTCAATGCCCCTCCCCCCCCCCGCTATACTCAGGCGGTGGGGTTGAGTGGTCCATATTCATTCACCAATCAACAGCCCTTTCCAAATAGACACTAATATAATAGTAGATAATAATAATAAAAAATACACTAATTATATTAAATACATATGATTTAAAAAATGGGCCGAAAAAGGTCTGCCGAAACCAGACTTGCGCGGCCAAAAACGACTGGGCCGATTCCAAAAAATGGGCCGAAATGTGACCAAACTACTGTGCTAGTTTTATACTCAACTATGGGCTGTTGTGAGATGTGAAGGCTGTTTTGATTGGCTAAAATATGTACGAAAAAAAAAACAAAAAAAAATTGTACGAAAAACTTAAATAAAATATGAATGCAAAGCTCAAAAAAAAAAAAATATGAATGCAAAACTGAAAAAAAATATGTATGCAAAACTTAAATAAAAATATGTATGCAAAACTTAAATAAAAATAAATGCAAATGTCACTTTTATGCCACCGTAATTTTGTTATATGAACAAATTATTATTATTATTGGATATTTTAAGTGGTAAAATTAATGAAACTTTTATCACTTAAGCATCATCAGAGTATTGACCGCCATCTTGAACTCCACCTCAAATATTTCAATGTCGAAGATCGAAAATAAGTCAGTTCTCAGTATTTAAGCAGAACTCAGATTACACCTTTAGACCTCTGGAACCCAAAGTGCGTTGATATGTAGCATATTAACGCACTTTGGGGTCAATTTCTCGATTTTGACCCCAAAGTGCGTTTGACCCCAAAGTGCGGTGCGAAGTTTAACGCACTTTGGGGTCGGACCCCAAAGTGCGTTTGACCCCAAAGTGCGGTGTTACAAAGCACAAAAGTGGCCTTTGCACATATTTTTGACGTTACATATTTTCTCATTCCTGCCTTACTTGATATTTTTACGACGCGGTCCGTTGATATGAAAAATCGACCGGATGTAGATTTTTTTCGTGCATGATTAAT